ACCAAATTCCTACAAGCAACATTATATTGACATTTAACCGGCCTCATCTACCGTCTAATATCCGCGTTGGGTACGCCGTTGTCAAAGTCATAGTCTTCGTTCCAAATCCGATGCAATTTTTCTCAATGCCAGCGCTTTGGTCATACAAAACCACACGGCCGGAATCGAGCTGTCTGTGGGAAGTGTGCATCTCTAGAACATTCGGGAGACCAGTGTACTTCTATGCAGCCCTAGTGCGTGAAATGTGGCACGGGGCAGGTACCGCACACAGTTTTCGATCAAAGTTGTCCAGCCTTCATGAAGAAAAAGAAAATTATGTCACTCAAAACCTCAAAGAACATCTCTTTCCACCAGGCGCGTGAACAGTATAAGGCTAATCACCCCAAAGTATCTTACGCCGAAAAATCCAAAACCTCTGTACTACAGTCCACCAGCATCAATCACATGTCAGCGGTCCAATTCATCGCGCTCCTGCGATCCTTCCGTTTGTCTGTGGTGTCGGCGGGACGGGCGACTCCCGCCCAGTTGGATCCTCCGGGTCCTTCAGCTGAGTCCTGTTCGCCCAACGCTGTGCCGCCGGCCCCTCAGGTGTCATCGGGGTCGCTAAACGGGAGAGGAAGAGGGATGGACGGTGGTCAAGCGCGGCCATGGTCTGCGGGCTCGGCCGTCCTCGCCGTCTGGCGCACCGCTGCCCTCGTCGCCTCCGGCGACACTGGCGAGTGCGTGCGGACGGGCAGCGGAAACGATGGAACGGCATGAGGCAGGCAGGCGCGCCCGCGACGCCAAGCGGGCCCGCTTGGCCGAGTTGGAGAGGGCTAAGGCGGCCAATCGTTTGTCCGGTGCAAGCAAGGAGCCCGCCCCTCGCAGTGGTACCCCATCGCCCAGAAGGCCAGTGGAGGCCCCCGCTGACCCCCAGACGCCTGGTAGAGGCCTGACGATGAGCCCTCCTCCGCCGCCACCCCGGACTGGGTACGCTGGCGTGAAGCGTGCCCCGGCCGGTCCCCCGTCTCCGTCGGACGGAGGGAGCCACAGAACTTGTCCCAGAGTGGGGCACGTCCCTGCAGAATCGAGCCGTGGCTCTCAGTCTGAAACGTCTGCTCCTGCAACTGGCGCAGTCCAGTTCTTTTAGGACGTGTCCGGTTTTAGTATGTGACCTCTAACGGCCCTTTTGACACGCCCCCTTTACAGGCATTTTTACAGTGGAACTGTAGAGGAATAAGGGCGAATGTCCTCAACCTCCAGGCTGTCGTCAGCCGTAGCGCTGCAAGAGACCAAACTTGCTTCTGGTCACCACTGCACGCTGAAGGGATACGCCCTGTTTCGCAACGATGTGTTAACCGACGGTATCGCACACGGCGGTGTCCTCCTTGCACACAGCGTGCCAGCCAAGAGGTTAAACCTGCGTTCTACGCTACAGGCTGTAGCCGCACACCTACATTTTAATCAACGTCACATCACAGCGTGTTCCTTATATCTTCCACCTGGTGTCGCTTTTCCATTGGAATAGATGAGGCGTTTAGTGTATGATTTGCCTTCACCACTTCTTCTTTTAGGCGACTTAAACGCTCATCACACTGCGTGGGGCTGTGATAGCACGAACACCAGTGGAAGGATTTGCGAACATTTTATCCATGACTTGTTACTGTGTGTTTTAAATACAAGGACTCGTACCCATTTCACACTTCCGTGTGGTCAGATTTCCGCGCTTGATTTGAGTATTTCTGGTCCCGAGCTGGTGGAAAGCCTCGAGCGGTCTGTGGCAGATGATCCAATGGGCAGTGATCACTTCCCAGTATGGCTTCGATTCCAGATAAGGAAAACGTTTGGTGTAAGACCACGACGTTGGTATTAAAAAAAAAACTAAATGGGGTGAGTTTCAAGCTCGACTGGAGACACTGTGCCAAACCGAAAGTGAGAGGATGGCCCCCTCTATTGAGAATTTTACTCACTGACTTCTAGATTGCGCTAGCGATTACATCCCGCGCTCTTCTGGATTTCTCCGTCGCACTCCTGTGCCGTGGTGGACAGAGAAGTGTCGTGACGCAATTCGCGCTCGCAAACGTGCTTTCCGAGCTTTTGACGCCAGAAGTAACCTGGATAATTAAGTAGCTTTTAAGAACGCGAGAGCTTTCGCCCGTCGCACGATAAAAGAAGTGAAACGTGAATCCTGACGTGTGCATGTAAGCACGCCTAGCAGATTCACGCCAACTTCGCGGGTTTGGGCTCGGATCAAGCGCATCTCTGGAAAGTTTTCATCCGCGCCACTTCCTGTGCTACATGATAACGACCAGGTGGTGACTCATCCGTTGGATGTGGCTGACGAGATCGCCCGAGCACTCTCCCGCCGTAGCGAAGGTGCAAACACGAGCCCACCGTTCTTACGGCAAAGAGCGCAATGCGACAAAATCGTGGTGGGCTTTTCACGAGGCGACCACAGGCGTACAATGAGCCCTTCACTTTGGTGGAGCTGGAGTCGGCAATTACAAAGCTTCGTAGTGCATCGGAAGGTCCTGATGGCATCCACAATGAGATGCTCCGACATCTGCCACCGTGTGCACGTCGCATACTGTTGGAGGCCTTCAACAGGATATGGTCAAGTGGTGAATTCCCTCCGGCCTGGCAGGAAGCTGTTGTGGTGCCTATTCTAAAACCGGGAAAGAGTGGGATAGACCCTCTTCATTACCGACCCATTTCACTGACGTCATCACTGTGCAAGCTCATGGAAAGAATGGTAAACGTTCGACTCACCTGGTTTTTGGAGAACAACGTTATTTTTAGTAACTCGCAGCGCGGGTTTAGAAAAAAACTGTAGTACGGTGAACCACCTTCTAGCTTTGGACACTACGATTCGTAAGGCTTTTCAAGAGCAAGCGCATATGGGAACAGTATTCTTTGACATTGAAGCCGCCTATGACGCCCACATGGCGCCATGGTATTCTTCAAAAGCTTTATAAGTATGGTATACGTGGCCATATGGTTACTTTTCTCCAACAGTTTTTTAGCCAAACGATATTTCCGTGTTCGGGTCGGCAACGTCCTCTCCGATAAGTACCAACAAATAAACGGCGTGCCCCAGGGTGGCATGTTAAGAGTAGCGCTGTTCGCAGTTATGATAAACGATATTTGTGATGTGCTCCCCCAGTCGGTCGGACGTGCCCTTTTTGTTGACGATTTTACTATTGGGACTAGTGCAGCGAGGGCACCAGCGATGGAGCGACGCGAGCAGCTGGCTGTGGACCGCGTTGAAAGATGGGGTGACATGAACGGGTTTTGTTTTTCGGGCGATAAGGCCGTTGCAATGCATTTTTGTCGTCGCCAGAGATGTGATGACCTCAGCATCCGTCTATATGGTCGCTCTATTCCAAATAAGGCCGTGGCCAAGTACCTTGGGATGCACGTTGGCCGCCGCCTTACATATAACGCACATATTAAAATGTTACGCGACCGCTGCTTTAAATCTCTCAACAAACTGAAGTGTGTGTCTCGCACGTCATATGGGGCAGACAGAAGCACGCTTATGCTTTTGTATCGTTCACTCGTCCGCTCCAAACTGGATTATGCATGCTTTGTGTATGATGGCGCGTCTGAATGCAGCAAGCGTGTTCTTGATACCGTCCACCATACTGCCATTCGTATTGTTACTGGAGCGTTCCGCACATCACCTTCCGCCAGCCTTTTAACGGAGGCACACGAGCCAACACTTTCGACGAGGAGGAAAATGCTCGGCATACGTTATGCCTTGAATCTGCTGCAGTTTCCACTTCATCCGACATAGTCTGCAGTACTTTCTCGGCTTGCCCTGAGTTCCCTCCGTGATGGGCGGCAGCAGCACGCTTTAACTTCTGGTTTCAACTGTTGGTTTCCGAATGAGAGCCTTATTGCTCGAAGGCGGAATTCCTCTTCGAGGTGTAAAGCTAGTAAGCCACCTGGCTTCTCCTCCTTTGCAAGCGACCATACTCTTCATTGACACCCCGCTTACGGAAATTAGGAAAAAAGACGTCACACCACACCTAATGAGATCCAGGGCACTTGAGGTTCTGGCGTTTTATGAAGGATACACTCTGACGTATACAGACGGATCCAAAACCTCGTATGACGTGGGTTATGCTTTCGTCAGCGGTTCTGTCACTCGATCGTTCTCGTTACCAGCCCACTCGTCAGTTTTCACCACGCCGGAATTAACTGCGATTACCAAGGCGATGTGCTTCATAGAAGTTGGTGAGGAATATTCACACGCCATTTTTACAGAAACACTGAGCAGTCTCTCTGCACTGAAGTCTTTTTATCCATCATGTCGCCTTATACAGGACATTTTATCACGCCTGACACAATTGAATCGGATTGGAAAGAGAGTTGCGCTGTGCTGGATCCCCAGTCACGTCGGTAGTGTGGGCAACGAGTTGGCCGATGCCGCTCCCAAGCGAGCAGCGGTGGCAACATATACCCGGTTTTTGCCTATCCCTCCCAGAGATTTCTACCCGGCAGTCAAGATCTTCCTGAGAAGCAAATTGCAGCGCTGTTGGGACCAGGTGGGCGGCAATAAATTCAGGCCGATAAAAACCGAGTTGGGCTTGTGGTCGTCATGCTCCCGCAGTGTGCGGTGGGTAGAAGTGGCTTTATGCAGGTTGCGCATTGGGCATACGTATGCCACCCATGGCCATCTGTTGCATGGAGCCGACAGAGTCCTATGCCAGCGGTATGGTGCCGTTCTCACTGTCCATGTCATTGTATCATGTCCGTGCCTCATCGAAGAACGACGACGTCACTTTGGTCCGCAGGCTTCGTTCCTGACGATTAGCGATGTGCTCGGGGACAGTTCCTCGTTTCTTGATTCAAAACAACTCTTTTCGTTGTTAAAAGGTATTGGTTTTCAAGTTATTTTCACACCATACTAATTAAGTAAAAGCATCGTTATGGGCGCAAAATGACCATTGCAGTCGACGCGCCGTAAAACAACAACGATCTTCCCCGATGCCCTGTTGGTTGCTCCAAGGACTCACCTTGTCGAGGAAGACCATCCCGATGCCCTGTTGACTGCTCCAGTTGTCAGCGCGCATCATCAGCTCACGCAGAAAGTCTTCGTGAATCTCCAGGATTTCAGGAATCTGTTTGCGTATGTCAGAGAACGAAATCACCATGTGTGAGTAGCCGTACACAGGCAGTAGAAGAATGGGAACAATAGGTTCCCTCCAAGGCAGAGAAAAAAGTACAATTTAACCTCGTTGCGCCTTGGGTTTCATGCAATTGATAGTGTATTTAGAGCTCGACCCTTCCAAGAAACGCTGTTAGACAAGCTTTTGTATGCGGTTCACTAAAGTGGCAAAAATGTGCTTACAAACGTGTTAGCGTTCGGCTGATGCAGTAGTTCCTAGCTACGAGTTTTTAACCCTGTTCCGGACGGATTCCCATCACCCCTATTCTGTGGGTGGGCCGTGGCTTCCCGCCCGAGATCTCGCGAACCACTGGCCGATAAGAAATGGTTTTCGTTTTCTGGCAACGTGATTTGCAGTTACAGAAAATACGATCTGAAAGTAGAATACGGCGTAACAGGGTGAACACGCCAAAGTTCAGGACATTTTCGATCAGACACAGTTATCCCGGTTATCTTCTGATTTTGACGCTTACAATGCGGAAAGATGGACAGTGGCTTCAGATGGATGCATAATTAATATGTTCAAAATTTGAAAAATTGCGGACATATCCACGACATGCCAAGCGAGATGGTAACAAAAGTCATCAAAACGCATTTTTAATTGGATGTATGTAGAGCAAATAGAATGGTGCTCCCTTTTGTCATGAGGAAACCTTTGACATAGGCATATCCAGTTCTCCAAAGGGGGGAAGCAGCAACACTTGTTTGGAGCGTGACCCACCGTCAGCCGCGTTTGTCAGTTGACGGGCCTGCTGCTGGTGGTCACTGTCTCCAGTTATTTTTGAACACGCGCTTGGGCGGGACGAATTTAACCGTTCTGAGTTTTTCAGAATAATTTGAGAACGGTGAGATGTAGCAACACCAAGCTATGCCTAGTTGCAGTCAACTGAAAAGCCAATCTTTTGCTTTGAAAAAGATAAGGCTATTGAGATCGCTAGCCTGCACCACGCCAAAGTCAGTCCATCGTTGTCGGCGGGGACACTTTATGGAACCTGTTAAGCTGATGCTTCAGTAGAGTGTAAGACGACCTCAGACAATTTTAGACAGTTTCTAACGCAATAAGACAAACACAGTTATGATAACAACTAAGCTGATAAATCTGGGGGTTATGTACGAAATCAGACCAAGGTCAAAAGCAGACAGCTTTGTACTGGAAACTTGCTTTACGGAGGTAGCTTCTGACGCTGAAAATAGGTTTTGATGCCTGAGGTAGCTTTGAAAGCTCGAGGTAGCTTTAGGTAGCCTTTGACCCTTGAGGTAGTTCTTGGCTCCTCAATCACAGCGATGTTTTTGGCTCCTCAATCGCAACGATCAGGCAAGGTATTTCGCATTCGTCAATGTCCGGAAAGGTCACTAACAAACATGGCCTCGATCAACGATTTGCTTTAGAGAACATGCTTTCGAGGGTACTTTTTATCGATTGCAGCTCAATTGGAGACCTTTTGTACATTGCAAGTGTCTTATTCGCGGTAGGCATCAGCATTTCTGTGGGCGCCAGACAGTGCGCACAGTTTCGGGTAGATGACTATCCAAACATGATCGCCAGATGCCCGCTTTCATTGGATGCCCGCTTCCCCCCCCCCCCCCCCCCCCCCCCCACACCCCAACACCCACCAACACCGATCCTGAAACTCCCCCTGTGGATTTCATGCACCCGAAATTTTCACACACACGCGTAAACTACATTGATGCAACGCATAAAAAGAGTGGGATTCTCCCACCTGCCCGGAATAGAACCAGAGTGTTAGGTCGCTTCAAAACGCCTGCGATCATGGTCCCCCTGCACGTCATGCAGGTCCGGACGTCATGCTTTGGGACTCGGGATCCACATCAGAGGTGGCAAGACGTGGGGTGTTAGGTCCTACCATATGGAATATATCCAGGAGTGTTGGGTCCATGAGGTGCACCCAGTTTCCGGTTCTCGTAGTTTTCTGGAGTACTGAAACACCCAAAGAGACCAGGGATGTTAGATGAAGGAAATTACAGCCACCATCAACCTCGAACAAAAACAGACGGGTTTGTGGTCCTGGGCGCTTATTATGCGCTGTCTCTTAATGAATCACTGCATAATAGTGGATAGGCACGTGAGCAACTTTTGGACAACTATCCCAGCATCTGGTACGTGCACACGTTCCGTGAAAACGTACAGGAAGACGAAAGCTTTGAACGCAAACCTTCTCAAAGTATGATCTCAAAGAACCTTTACGGGCTCGGAAACAGGCCTCACCATCTATTCGTGAGCCAATTCATCCTTTAGTGACCTAAAATCAAACTCGCCACGCTCCGTACTCACACTCATGAGGACCGAAGGGACTCCACGTAGGACTGCTCCCTGTCCAGTAGCTCTCCGATTATGAACAGCCTGCCCCTGCCGAATAAAACGCCGTACATAGGAAAATAATTCATGCATGGCGTCGACAGCCCAACAGTGAAGCGCGTAGTCAATGCAGACGATCCCAACATTTTTGTCCCAGCTTGATTGCAGACCTGCTGATGTTTGCTAAATCGAAGCCAGAACAACTTGACTGTTAAATTGTAAGTGCGATTTAGGCACCTGTAGCAAATGCCACGCACGTATAAAGTGGAGCTTCCCATACCAATCATGCCAATCTATTTACCCGAATCACTGATATTTTGAAAACAACCGTCGATGGATTTTCTTTTGTTCGGAACTCGATCCTGAAATATACGCTAATTGGGGGTGCTGTTTTAGAGATAAAAATGTGTCGGCATTTGGCATGTTTTGAAAAGGAGTTATCTTTTAACGACCGTATCTAAAAGTTGTCATACCCACACATGAACAACGGAATAGGCTGAGCAACACAACATTTTAATAATGAAGATTTCAAAGATATCAGGATTGCTTATATTAGTTAACTGGTATTTTCGAACGTGAGTTATAAGATATATGTTCCATTTATTTCAAATAGTATCTTTTTTGGTTCTCTACATATCTTTGCTCTGCAGCTCATTAAAAAAACACAGTAGGCACTTCCGAACCGGCTCATCCGGCGAGCCTCAAGTCGGGCCTGCCGAGCGAGGCGGACAGCCGCCGCTTTCCAGGGAACGGTGGCTGACGGCGGCCCTCTGTCTGTCTGTCTGTCTGTCTGTCTGTCTGTCTGTCTGTCTGTCTGTCTGTCTCTCTGTCTCTCTGTCTCTCTGTTTCTCTGTCTCTCTGTCTCTCTGTCTCTCTGTCTCTCTGTCTCTCTGTCTCTCTGTCTCGCTGTCTCTCTGTCTCTCTGTCTCTCTGTCTCTCTGTCTCTCTGTCTCTCTGTCTCTCTGTTCTCCTCTCTGTCTCTCTGTCTCTCTGTCTCTCTCTCTGTCTCTCTGTCTCTCTGTCTCTCTGTCTCTCTGTCTCTCTCTCTGTCTCTCTCTGTCTCTCTTCTCTCTTCTCTCTCTCTCTCTCCTCTCTCTCTCTCTCTCTCATCTCTCCTCGTCTCTCTCTCTCTCTCTCTCTCTCTCTCTCTCTCTCTCTCTCTCTCTCTCTCATCTCTCTCTCTCTCTCTCTCTCTCTCTCTCTCTCTCTCTCTCTCTCTCCTCCCTTTT